TGCCTGTGTGAGTGTGTGTATGCATGTGTGAGTATGTGAGTGTGTGTGTATGCATGTGTGAGTGAGTGTGTGTATGCATGTGTGAGTGCGTGTGTATGCATGTGAGTGTGTGTGTATGCTTGTGTGTGTGTGTATGCTTGTGTGTGTGTGTATGCTTGTGTGTGTATATGAGTGTGTCTGTATATGTGTTTATATACCTGTGTGTATGAGTGTGTCTGTATATGTGTGTTTATATACCTGTGTGTGTGTATATGAGTGTGTCTGTATATGTGTGTTTATATACCTGTGAGTGTGTGTGTATATACGTGAGTGTGTGTGTATATACGTGAGAGTGTGTGTGTATATACCTGAGTGTGTGTGTGTATATACGTGAGTGTGTGTGTGTGTGTGAGTATGTGTGTGTATATACCTGTGTGTGAGTAAACACCCCTATGATGAGAAACACAAATGGACCTAGTCTTCCCTTGCCCGGACGTGGGTCACCGGGGCCCCACTCTGGAGCCAGGCATGGAGGTGGGGCACGTGGGCGAGCGCCTGGTGGCCGGGCTTTTACCCATGGAGCTCGGCCGGGCACAGCCCGAAGAGGAGACGTGGGTCCCCCTTCCCATGGGCTCACCACCTGTGGGAGGGGCCAAAGGGGTCGGGTGCAATGTGGGATGGGTGGTGGCCGAGGGCGGGGACCCTGGCGGTCTGATCCTCGGCTACAGAAGCTGGCTATTGGGACGTGGAATGTCACCTCACTGGTGGGGAAGGAGCCTGAGCTGGTGTATGAGGCTGAGAGGTTCCGGCTAGAAATAGTCGGACTCACCTCTACGCATGGCTCGGGCTCTGGAACCAGTTTCCTTGAGAGGGGCTGGACACTCTTCCACTCTGGAGTTGCCCCTGGTGAGAGGCGCCGAGCAGGCGTGGGCGTACTTATTGCCCCCCAACTTGGTGCCTGTGTATTGGGGTTCACCCCGGTGAATGAGAGGGTGGCCTCCCTCCGCCTACGTGTGGGGGGATGGGTTCTGACTGTCGTTTGTGCTTATGCACCAAACGGCAGTTCAGATTATCCACCCTTTCTGGAGTCCTTGGAGGGGGTACTGGAAAGTGCACCTTCTGGGGACTCCCTTGTTCTGCTGGGGGACTTCAATGCTCATGTCGGCAATGACAGTGAGACCTGGAGGGGTGTGGTTGGGAGGAACGGCCCCCCTGATCTGAACCAGAGTGGTGTTCTGTTGTTGGACTTCTGTGCTCGTCATGGATTGTCAATAACGAACACCTTGTTCAAGCATAAGGGTGTCCATATGTGCTCTTGGCACCAGGACATCCTAGGCCGCAGTTCGATGATCGACTTTGTCATCGTCTCATCTGATCTGCGGCCACATGTCTTGGACACTCGGGTGAAGAGAGGGGCGGAGCTGTCAACTGATCACTACCTGGTGGTGAGTTGGCTCCGATGGTGGGGGAGGATGCCGGTCAGACCTGGCAGACCCAAACGTATTGTGAGGGTTTGCTGGGAACGTCTGGCAGAGTCTCCTGTGAGACGGAGTTTCAACTCCCACCTCCGGGATAACTTTGAACATGTTCCGAGGGAGGTGGGGGACATTGAGTCTGAGTGAACCATGTTTCGTGCCTCTATTGTCGAGGCGGCTTACCAGAGCTGCGGCCGCAAGGTTGTCGGTGCCTGTCGCGGCGGCAACCCTCGAACCCGATGGTGGACACCGTCGGTGAGGGATGCTGTCAGGCTGAAGGAGTCCTATCGGGCCTTTTTGGCCTTTGGGACCCCGGAAGCAGCTGATGGGTACCGGCAGTCCAAGCGACATGCGGCTCGGGTGGTTGCTCAGGCAAAAACTCGGGCATGGGAGGAGTTCGGAGAGGCTATGGAGAATGACTTCCGCACGGCTTCGAGACGATTCTGGTCCACCATCCGGCATCTCAGGGGGGGAAATCGGTACGCCACCAACACTGTTTATAGTGGGAGTGGTGTGCTGCTGACCTCAACTCGGGATGTTGTGGGTCGGTGGGCGGAATACTTTGAAGACCTCTTCAATCCCACCGGCATGTCTTCCACTGAGGAAGCGGAGCCTGAGGACTCTGGGTCGGGCCCTCTAATCTCTGGTGCTGAGGTCACCGAGGTGGTTAAAAAGTTCCTCGGTGGCAGGGCTCCAGGGGTGGATGAGATTCACCCGGAGTTCCTTAAGACTCTGGATGTTGTAGGGTTGTGTTGGCTTACGCGACTCTGCAATATTGCGTGGACATCGGGGAAAGTTCCCCTGGATTGACAGACCGGGGTGGTGGTCCCCCTATTCAAAAAGGGGGACCGAAGAGTGTGTTCCAACTACAGGGGAATCACGCTCTTAAGCCTCCCTGGTAAGGTCTATTCGGGGGTTCTGGAGAGGAGGGTCCGTCGGATAGTCGAACCTCGGATTCAGGAGAAACAGTGCGGTTTTCGTCCTGGCCGTGGAACACTGGACCAGCTCTACACTCTCAGCAGGGTCCTGGAGGGTGTGTGGGAGTTTGCCCAACCAGTCTACATGTGCTTTGTGGACTTGGAGAAGGCGTTCAACGGCGTCCCTCGGGGGGCCCTGTGGGCGGTACTCTGGGAGTATGGGGTACCGGGCCCTTTGATACGGGCTGTTAGGTCCCTGTATGACCGGTGTCAGAGCCTGGTCCGCATCGCCGGCAGTAAGTCGGGCTTGTTCCCGGTGAGAGTTGGACTCCGCCAAGGTTGCCCTTTGTCACCGATTCTATTCATAACTTTTATGGACAGAATTTCTAGGCGCAGCCAAGGTGTTGAGGGGATCCGTTTTGGTGGCCTTAGGATTGCGTCTCTGCTTTTTGCAGATGATGTGGTCTTATTGGCTTCATCAGATCGTGATCTACAGATTTTGCTGGAGCGGTTCGCAGCCGAATGCAATGCGGCCGGGATGAAGATCAGTTCCTCCAAATCCGAGGCCATGGTCTTGAGATCTCGGATACAAGCGGCCGAAATGAGTTTTCTCCGCAGCGTGTTTGGGCTCTCCCTTAGAGACAGGGTGAGAAGCTCGATCATCCGGGAGGGACTCGGAGTAGAGCCGCTGCTTCTCCACGTCGAGAGGAGCCAGTTGAGGTGGCTTGGGCATCTGTTTAGGATGCCTTCTGGACGCCTCCCTGGTGAGGTGTTCCGGACACGTCCCACCGGAAGGAGGCCCAGAGGAAGACCCAGGACACGCTGGAGGGACTGTTTCTCGGCTGGCCTGGGAACGCCTCGGGATTCCCCCAGAAGAGCTGGCCCAAGTGGCTGGGGAGAGGGAAGTCTGGGCTTCCCTACTTAGGCTACTACCCCCGCGACCCGACCCCGGATAAGCGGAAGAAAATGGATGGATGGATGGTGTGTGAGTATGTGTGTGTGTATATACCTGTGTGTGTGTATGTGTGTGTATATACCTGTGTGTGTGTGAGTATGTGTGTGTATATACTAGGGTTGTTATAGATAAACCGATACGACCGGATATCCGGTTTGACAAGCTAGCGATATGGTTGTGTCGGTAGCAGCCGTATAAATCGACAGCAACCAGCCACAAATGCTGAGATGAACCGGTTGAAGAGACATGAACCGGGTATCGCGAGACTAGCTCGGTTGACAGTGCGTTTATAAAACAACGCGAGAGTCGGAAATGCCCGCGAAGCTATTCTCACGCATGCTCCGTAGCTCACCAAGACAACGAGAATGGATGTAAATAGTAGCAGCGTTAGCGGGTCACCGAGAAAGATTTTCAATACAGCAGCCAGACAAAAGTCTAAAGTGTGGAACGTTTTCGGGTTTTACAAGAAGGACGGAAAACTCGACAAAAACCACGCTATTTGTAAGCTATGCAGAGCACCTCTGAAGTACACTGGTAGCACAACAAACCTTGATCAACATGCAACGAGAAAACACAGAGAGGAGTATGGCGAACTTCTCAAGCCCCATAACAACGAGCAGGAGCAGGCAGCTGCCACACAGAGAGCGACGGGTAACGTTATCACTAAATTTTACGGGCAACTCGGCGACAGTTCATCACGAGCTAAGGATATAACGGCATCAATAACCCGTTTCATAGCTAAGGGCTTATGGCCGTACAATATAGTGGAGGGGGAAGGATTTCAGGATTTGATTCATACGTTAGAGCCCAGATATAAGATTCCGTCCCGGCAGCATATCACAAACACATGCATGCCAGCGTTGTATGCCCAAGTGAAGAGCCAAGTTGAAAAAGAATTGGCACATGCAGAGCGAGTTGCTATTACAACCGATGCCTGGACGTCATGCTCCACTGAGTCTTATGTGACCATCACTGTCCACTACATCTCTCCAGACTGGAAGTTAAATGTGCATGTGTTGCAAACCAGGGCATTCAAAGGATCCCACACTGGGAAAAACATTGGTGCTCTGCTAAAACAGGCATGTGTTGACTGGAACCTTCTTGATAAAGATCCAGCCCTGGTGACAGACAATGCCACAAACATGGTATTAGCTGGAGTGGAAGCAGAGATGACCCCTCACCTCATGTGCTTTGCACACACTATTAATCTCGCCACACAGAAAGCCTTTAAAGTTGACACAGTAGCAAGGTTGCTGGGGAGAGTGAGGAAAGCCGTTGCCTTTTTTCATCGTAGTGTGAGGGCAGCAGAAATCCTTCAAGAGAAACAGAAACAACTAGCCTTGCCTTCCCACAAACTCATCCAAGATGTATCCACGCGGTGGAATAGCTCCCATGACATGCTTGAACGCTTTTTTGAGCAACATCCTGCGATTTCTGCAGCACTCATGTCCAGGGACCTCAGAAAAGGAGAAGAGGTGAATACTCTCAAGGACAAAGACTTCTGCGACATTGAAGACATTGTCAAACTGATGGCGCCGGTCAAACTTGTGACTACCAGCATGTCTGAAGACAAGCGACCCACACTCTCAATGATTCTTCCTGTAAAAGCAAAGCTTAAAAAGAACTTTGAACCATCAGATGAAGACTCAGTGTTAATCAGAGAGATGAAGCAGGCGTTCAAGAATGACTTGGAGAAACGCTACACAGGCCTTGAAGATCTCTTCCACACTGCAGCAGCTCTGGACCCCCGTTTTAAGTCCCTGCCCTTCCTCAGTAACCATGATGCAGAGAGGACATTCACAAGCATATCAGCAGAAGCAGCATCCCTGCATCACAAGGTAAATCCCCCAACACACTGACAAAATACATATTACAGTACATTCAGTTACAGTCTGCTGTGTTTTGTTGCTGTCATTAGATATATTCTGACTACTGTTTATTTGATTCTTTACACTGCATTTAACCATACTGTACACTAAATGTTATTTCATGTTTTATTTCTAGGTAACGGGGGGTTCAGTTCAGAGAGGTCCAGTGCAGACTGATCCATGTCAGAGTGAACCTGCAAATGGAGATCCGGACGTCTGCATTGATGTACCCCAGACCCAAGATGAGCATAAAGGTTTGTGTGTTTTATAACTTGTGATCAAGAACGAGAAGACTTTGTCTTAAACTTGTGCTGCAGTCATAGTATCAGTATAAAACACATTCACTATAATAAGAGGATCTGCATGCAAAGAAAGAGTTAAATAATAATGATGATGATAATGATACATATTTTACATATGTACACGAGTCCTTACATAAATAAATTCTGAACATCAAATGAAGATTTATACATAAAATGGTAGTCAATTAAAAAACTTCATGGCAAACATAGCCAGTAATATATGGTACTTGTTTTCTATTTCAGATGATAAACCTCCTTGTAAAAAGAAGAGAATGTCAGCCCTGGACCAGCTGTTGGGAGAAGACTTTCAAGTAAGGACGGCATCTAGATCTGTGAGGGACCAGGCCAATGAAGAAGTCAAGAGGTACAGAGAGCGTGATCCTTTGCCCCTGAAAAAAAACCCACTACAGTGGTGGAAAGAGCAACAGGACTTGCCACTGCTGTCATCTATGGCTAAAATGTATCTGTGCATACCGGCCACCAGTGTGGCATCTGAGAGAGTTTTCAGCACTGCAGGAGGTACTGTTTCCACAAAACGCAGTCTACTCAAACATGAGCATGTGGATCAGCTGATTTTCCTTAAGAAAAATCTGCCGCAAAAAAAAGATGAGGACAGTGATTATGACGAATAAAAATATAGGTAAACATACAAACATAAGGAAGTGAACTACTTCACTGTGTTTGAGTTCAGATTGAACCTGACGTGAATGTAGAAATGCAGGACATTACTTTTGTTTAGACTACCTCACCAGGTCAGAAAGCTGCAGTTTGATTTCTTTTATACATGTAATCGGCACTTTGACTGTTGATATGTGCTGCTGATTATCCATGCTGCTGATCTGATCTCATGCTGCTGTTTAAATGACATGATGTTATATTAATCTGTGCCCACCTGCTCACACAAACTCATGTTCGTGCTGCTGTTGTTAGGCGTACTGTTCTTGCATTATGTTTTTGTATTATTAAGTTCAAGTTCAAGTTGTGTTTATTTGTCATATGCAAGGTTAACACAATGAAATGTTCAGGATGAGAAGAACCGATTTGACTTGCTAAAAAACAAAAAACAAGCAAACAAGAAATACTAAAGCATGCAATAAGGGTACAAAATAAACTACCAAAAAGTGAAAAAGTAATTATAATATTTACAAAGTTTCTGAAGAGAAAAATGGTAAACAACATTGTAGAATTTTTACAGTGAAGCAGAATGAATTTGTGTGAATAAGTATTTCAAGGTAGTAATGTAATATAAGCTAAAATGCACATGATATATATTGCACATAACTACCAAACTACGCAGGGTATGTGACAGGTTATTGCACAGGTGCTTTGTGCTTACTGTAGCTTATTCCTATTTTTTTTTTATTTTTTTTTTTTACATGCTGCTGTAATCATTTGTGCATTTTATAATTTTTCTTTATTTTCTCATTTTATACTGATCCCATCAAACAAAGAAATATTCTTTTAGCTGGTCTTTTTAGGTCCATGTCTAAAAATAAACACATTTGACATGTGATTCTGTTGTTTGGCTTTTTACTTTATTTTTGCCAGTGCCTTACTGCACGCTTTTAGATATGATGTATGTAAACTTTTACAAATTTAAAAATAATGTAAGAATGTCACATTTATAGAAATGGCCCTTTTTGTTCATAATTAATATTTGTCTACATTCAACAAATGTTAAACTGTAGAATTATATAAAGTTGAATCGAACCGAATCGCTCTTCCACTGTATCGAATCGAATCAAATCGTTCTGTTTTTAAAATAAATCGTTTTTGAATCGAATCGTAACCTTTGTATCTAGATGCGAATCGAATCGTCTATCACACAGAGATGTACAACCCTAGTATATACCTGTGTGTGTGTGTGAGTATGTGTGTGTATATACCTGTGTGTGTGAGAGTATGTGTGT